TGTGTCCGCGAGCCCTTGAAATTTGTTGCACCATTATTTCTTTACCATTTTACTCAACTTGGAACATTTTTTGAATTTTTATCGTTTTAAAACGAGAACCAAGTTGATCGCATGATTTGTTTTTTTTACAAAGCAATATCAGTTTATAATTATACGATATAATCATATTATTTATTGACATAAAATTTATTATTTATGTAATATAAAATTCATTAATGATTCATTTTTCATTGTCACTGTCGCAGTTATTTTCTTCGCCACCAAACAAATATTTGCTATTCTCGATAAGAAACACCAGTTGTAAAAGGAAGAGAGAAGAAGAAAGTCTCTCTCTCTCTCTCTCTCTCTCTCTCGGAGAATGCAGTGCGAAGAACAGGAAGCGGAATAGAGAACAGGTGTGAGATACTACCGAGAAATTCTGGCAACGAGCAACAGAGCAGTTTCCGTGCACGAGTTTGCAGCGCGGTGAAGTGACTAATACCCACCAGTTTAGGAATCCACCATAAATAGCGGAGGTTGGCAGAGATCAGGAAAATGTTTGACGTCCTATTATCCGCGCCAAGAATCGAAATCCCCCTTGGAACATTTCACCGGGAGATCAAATATTTGAGCGTCACCCGGTGGATCCCCAGTGTCTTCGAATGCCATCGAAAACAGATCCTTCCAGCGATGAGATATTTGCATGAACGTTTCGCAAAAAAGAAAAAAAGAAAAAAAACGATCGCCCGACTGTTTCCCCTGAAATTTCGTAGAAATTGTCAAATATACCTGTACTGCCATCGTTTTTTTTCTTTCTTTTTTTTTTGTATTTTAACGCAAACGACGTTTTTTTATTCCTTAAATTCTTCGTGATACGCGAGCAACATCGAATTCCGAAATTTTATTAATTAGCTCAAAAAGGCGAATATATCGCGTGATTAATTAATCTCAGTTCGTTAAATCTATACTACGGCCACTGTTTAATGACAGTAGACATTTGTTAGAAATTATCTTTATGAAAGGTAAACAGTTGGAACGTTAGAGGCTTTTTTTGTTCCAAATTGCAACATTTCCTCAGTTTTAAGTACATTTAAATGTAACCCAGGCAAAACGAATGACAAGTTTGTTACTTCTTAATAATTTTTATCCAATGAATACTATCATACCGATGAGGTCCAGAAGAAAAAGAGAGTGACAAATTATTTTATACGGTTCGGTCATTCGTTATGGTCAACCAGTTGCCAGCGCAATGGGTTAAGGGAAGAAGAACAGAATGGTAGACCTTGTTACAGCGTAATTATAGTTAATTATCTTTTGCTCATTCTATATAAAATATAGAAAATATCACACACTTTATTATTAAACATAATCATCGATCTCTGACACTGACGCAAAAAGAAAGTGAAAAAAATCGACGTTCGTTCTCATTGTCCGACGTCGAGCCACATTGGGTGGCGCAGCTGCGACCCAATAGGCAGCAATTCAACGGACAAGGTGGTTACTGGTTAATACAGCAACTTACCCACTTACAGATACGCTCTAAAACCACGCGCGATGGCTCGTGTTCGTGTAACAACCGTCACCAGCGGCGGTGGCTGGGTAACCGAGAGTTTCGTCGGTGCAGAAGCAACGCGGACTGTTACCAAGTTCGGATAGACCGAGCTAAGTTCTCCTGGTGGTACTTATGGGACCGGTTGTCTACCGGCGAAAACGCCTGGACGAAGTTTGTCTCTCCCGCCTCTTTGCTCACCCCACCAGCCCTTAAGGAACGCTCGAGACACTGATTTACATGACGATTAAGTTAATTAACGAGCTGCAGTCGTCGTCGCAGTTGGATTGTTAATCTCAACCGCGTCGAACTGGCATGTCGTCAATGTCGAGGATCATTCGTGACAAGCTTTGTTTCCGGTACAGTAAAACCTCCGTCAGACGAACTGATTTTGAAATGGGAGATGAAAGTGTGTTCAGGTGAGAAAGTTTTCACGTTTTACTGAATTTGATCGATCCGAACTGACCTGTACAGATCCTGACTGACGTGGTTCGAAACGTGGAACCCTCCCCTTTAAACTGCACTTTGTTTCATGTCGATCGGCGCACCCGTTACGGAGATACGATCGTTCGAACGAAACCATAATTTTTCGCCCGTTTACGTTTCTGTCTCGCTCGCGCGCTCGGACTTCTCTCTCTTTCTCTTTCTCCCTCTTTTGCACGCCTTCACTGACCTATCTCAAGCGTCCTTGCGCTGCCCACCGCCAGACGCTGAGTCAGACTTTTTTTTTGCTACTACTACTACTACTAGTATTAGTACTACTACTACTACTATTATTACTACTACTACTGCTACTACTAGCGACGTACGCGTTTCCAGGAAACAATGTAGGTCACGGGAATTTCGCCCGCCATTCACAACTCAAGCGCTAAAATTTAAATCCATGTATCTCCGTAATTAATTGAGATATCGATTTGGGAAAAACGGCGTTTCTCATGTGCTCTTTTCTATTTTTCTTTCATCTGTTTTCTCGAAATTTTGTAATCTTTTTTTTTTCCAGCTTCTTTGGATGATCTTTATCGACGAAAAGACGAACTGAGTTTGACGAACGAAATATAACTATATATTTAGCATCTTATATATTTTATATAAATATATATTTTATATATTTTATAAACTATACATTTATATTTTCAGCTGTGTTATAGTAATATGTGGAATATTTTATGAAAATAGATATATCTCTGGAATTAATTGGGATATTCACCTGGAAAAAATGGCCACGCCTTCTTCTGTCTCTTCCTTTCCTTCATCTTTCTCTGTCTTTTTTTTTTTTTTATTATAGGGGATTTTTGTTAGAAACTTTGTAATCTTCTTTGGCTCCCCTTTTTTAAAGTTTCAGGTAAGATTTTTGTTAGAAATAACGCGTTTGTATTTCTTCTCTGACCGATTTTTTTTCACAAACTTCGTAATTTTAATCATCGACTCTGTAATTGTAATTTTTAATTTTCGTAATTTCTACGATACAATTAGAACTTCCAAGAAATGATTGATTCTTTTGTCAAATTTTGCTCGCCAACGTCAGAAACATCGAAGATTAAGAAAAATATTATTCCAAAATTATTATAATAACATACTAATAATAATATTATTCCGCGCGCGGAGAAATGAATGAGCTTTCGCGACGAGTCGAAGGTTGGAAAGCAATTGAGAAACGCGGAACGAAATTCTCCCCGCGGAGAGAAGTTCCATATCCGGGGATAGAGTTCGAACTATGTTTAGCCGAGTATCGGTTCCGGTATACGCGCACTCGTATAAATTTTTTTCGAAATTTCATTTCGATGCGGTGTATCGCTGTCGATGTTCGAGAACCTTTACGCAACTGTCGTTGGAATTACACCGAGAATTCCCATTTGCTTCGAGATATCGTCCCCGACGTCGTTTATATTCTACTCCCCCTCGGGAACTTCTTTCAGAGAGAAAAAGAAAAAGTGAAAAGAAGAAGAAGAAAAAAAATTGTCATTCGACGATTTCGAGGACCATCGAGGGTGTCTCGAGTCGGATTCAACCCTGACGCGACGTCTTGCGGGCATCAGGCTAAAGTAAACACATTTCCGCGGGGTTCGGCGAGGAAAAGCCGTGGATTTCCACACGGGGGAGGTGTGTGCACACACGTCGACACAAAAGTCCCGCGTTTCGTCGGGATTTGCAGCCTCGTCGATCGAAGGGAGGCGAGACTCGAAATGAAATTGCTTTCGATGCGTGCGTGGAACGTTCTCGCAGGTATGTATACGTGCGTTTACCGAGGGATAAGCGCCGCGTTATTTAAGTTACTCCATCGTGGAGAACGAATTTTACGCGTGTAATATTTCTTTTTAGGAAGTTCAGAATATTTGAGATAAACTGCATTATTAATGCAACATTAACAAACATAACAGCGAGGCAAAAGTAGCCGCGAATGAAAGGCGAGTTTGTCGTGAGAAATAGAAACTTTATTGGATAATATATTTTGACAATTTTGTTCGATCATCTTTTATGGTTCTTATCTTTCTCGACAGAAAATATATTCTCGTCAACAGTGAAATTTAACGAGGTGATTCTTTAACGAATCAATACTGCCGTAGTTTTGAAGTTTCTTTCCCACAAAGTAGTTTTTTCATAAGCATTTCTCTCCTTTTCAAAAGTGGTGCAACAAAATACGACGAAAATGTTTCTTTTTTGATTTTGAAATCGGCGTCGAACAAACAATTGTTAATAAAATAGTCAGATGATACAATAAATTTACAGTTTATAAATTTACAGCATATAAAATGAAGTTGATTATACATTTCAAGATACGATTATTTATTAGAAAAAAGGAGGCAATCATCTTCTGACCAACCTAATAAATTAAAAAAACTGCCGAGATTCGAAAATAGTTGCCTCTTTTAATTTCTAAAAATTCGAGTACTTGTACACGTGCGTCTCTTTTGTGCTACGAAAATACCCTACTTTTGACAAAACTTTCAGTCAGCAGAACAGTTTAGTCGTTACTAAACGTAACATAATTATCAGAACAATAACTGTTTTATTCAAAGAATTTAAAAGTATTAAAACTATTAAAAATATAATATTAAATTAGAATATAATAAATAAACTAAAAACTATTAAAAATATTAGTATTTAATAATCAGGACTAAAATATGTAGTATTTAAATTATTAGTATTTAATAATTAAGACTAAAATATTAGTACTTAAATTATTAGAAATAATAACTAAACTGTTCCATCGATCGATAGTTTTAACAATAAAGGATATTTGCGCGATACGAATAGTTTTTTAATAATGAGTCACTAATTAGTAATTGATTTCTGAATCTTCCATTACGTTAACGAATATAACATCTTTAATCGCTGCTCGCGAATTATTTCACATTCTATATATATATATAATTTTATATTTATAATTTATTCTCGGAACATTTCGCTCCGTGATAGAAACGAGTTAAAAGGTTTAAAGCGTTTTCCAACGAAAATGAATTCGGGTACTCACGATATCGAAGTCGAGGTTCTCGGCGATCCAGTCGCGGCCCTGCTTGAATTCGTCGTGAAGGCCCATGATGTACAGGGTGTCGAGACCATCGACGATGGTCGCGCCCATGTTCGAGGCGCCGAAAATGCTGGCGCTGTGACCTCTTTTCGAGATCGGTCGTAGCTCATTCTTTCCCCAGGCGTACCTCACGTAGTTGTCCCAGCCGTGTTTCATCATCTGCGTGGACAAAACGCAAAAAAAAAGGCGATTAGATCGATCGGTTTCGAAACTGAATCGAGCAGCAAATGCAAATACAGTTGTAAATGTGTGTTTACAAGAAACACGGGTACTAATAGCTTTTTCTGACACACGAAATCTGTCTTCGTAGGTAGTTTTATCACGTGCAAAAGTGATTTCCAATAATGAGTTACGTGCAATAATAAAGTAAAAGAGTTCAAGATATAATTCAATTTAAATTATTAAAATTATTATTAAATTATGAAAAATAATTCAATATGAAAATACGAGTAATATAAAAATCAAAAAAGGACCGACGTACGAGGGTTCTTCATTTTTTCAGCTGTACCGTGTATTTGAGAACAGAATGCAAAATATTTTGATTGGTTCAAAGACAAGCATCCTTATCGTCTCATTCCAAAAAAAAAAAAAAAAAAAAAACAAAAGAAAAAAATACTTAGAGAAGGATATTTTGTATTTCTTTAACAGTGCTTCTGATTTCTGCCATTAAATGCAGATTAAGCACTGAAGTCAGTGAACTGTGACGATACTGTTTCGACTCGTGAATTTTTACATTTCTTTTAAAATCATTGTCACACACAGATTGGATTATTGGATTAATTATTGGAAATAATTATTATACTCATACTTCTGCATATGGTAACTATCGAAAACAGATACAATAGTAAAAATATCGTCAAAGAAACTACTTTAGGCACAGGCGAATGCTTTCTTGCGTCCCGATATTTAACAATTGAATTTATTTTTCGCTCAATTCGAAGAGTAAATTCATTCTTCAGTGCTGTCGTCAAATTTCCCATAATCGGTAATCAAGAAATGTTCTGTTGTATCGAACACAATTGGAGCTTGGATGTAAAAATTTATCAATCGAGAAATCACTCAAATTCATTTAATTAAATTTATTTATTTAATTCAGATGCCCAAAAAGCTTTTCAATGCAATTTAAACTGTATTTTGTAAATAATTTTCTAAACAAGTGTGACGTACTTACAAATATAAAAATTGATTGGTCATTTGAATACTTTAAATCTCTTTTCTTACGTGCAGAAGCGGATAAAAGTATTTGAGTACTCGATATAAAATTATCGATACTCCAAACTGCTTGAACTTTGTAAAACAAAATCGTACAACAATTGGCCTCGTTTTAAAGTGGAATGAAACTTCTGTTCTATCAATTTTGAGCTCTCTTTTCCCAAAAATGTTTTTGCATCGCAAAGCAAGGATACTTTGGCTGTAAAAATTTAAACGCCTCCAAAATCATTGGAAAATTTTTTCGCGACTAGATCTTGAAGACTCAAAGGTCGATCTTGAAGAATGAATCCCTGAAAATTTCGCCATTTCGAACCTCACAGCAAAATTTATAGAGATCATAACATTTTTCCATTTTTAGCCTTTTGTTCAAGTTTAATAAAAATGGCGAGAAACAATCGTACAGCAAGTTTCGAGAGATGGTTGATCAAAGAGGAGACTTCGATCTTCAAGATCGTGGTAGATCTTTAATCGTAAACGGAACATTTTATTTCGAATTTTGACAATTTTCGAGAACAGACGTACCCTTGTTTTCAAAGTGAAGGCACTAAAACGAGACCAAGTGGACTGTTACACGACTTCGTTACAACAGTCTCGGGGATGGACAATTTTTTCGCCGAGTCTTTTGCGACATTTTCGCCCATCTCTGTGTATAATTCGAGCGATTTCCTCAAATCCCTCTTCCACCCCAAGGAAGATAAAAAAAAAAAAAAAACAAACGCGAACAATGACGAGAGAGATTCCGCAGATTTCGGTGGACTTATTAGAATAACTGCAAACGTGCGTATAGAAGTTTGCGTGAAACGTGGTCGTCGAGAGAGATAATAGACAGATCGTTGGCGCGCGCGGTATGGCAACGCGAATCTCGCACGAAGAAAAACGAATATATTAGCCTGCCCGGCCGTTCGTTCACCATTATTCCCATTCTCTTTGATTTTTCGTGCCATTTGCCGGCCTCTGCCAGTTCGCAGCCGCTTCATCACGTTTTTATGGCGGTATAATTCAGGCTCAGTATAATATCCATGGGCTCTGGCACCAACAGAAGCAAGTCCTTCTCTCCGAACCTCTCCTCTCTTTGCGGTCATCATAAATTCATTAAAAAAAAAAGAAAATAAAAAAGAAGAGAAAGAGAGAGAGAGAGAGAGAGAGAGATAAGTCGACGAGAAAAGGGGGATGGGATGCATGAAATTTTTTTTCGACGATATTCGTGACAGACAGAAAGAGAGAAGTAGCGTTAAGTATGCAGTTAAACTCTAGAATCGATGAACTTCTCGTAGAATAATTTTCTGTATGAAATACAAATAAACGAGGAAGTGAATAAAACGTTCGAAATGTTGACACTGTAATTACAAAATATCAACTCCCAATAACAAAAAGGGAAGAAGATTGTCTTTTCTTGAAATTCAATTGAAAAGTCTGGGATTCATTAATCTCTATAAACAAGATACTTTATTGTAACAAACTGTAATTGACGAAATACAACGAGGCAATAAATATAGAAAATAAACCATTCGAAATGATGATAATGTAATTACAAAGTGTTAACAATTAACAGCCAGAGAAAAGGACTGGCATTTTTTTTAAATTCAAATGGAAATCTTTATGAGTTTGGTAATTTTTCCTTTATGAATAAATCATTTTATGTTTCTGGTGAAGTACATACAATATTGAGGACATACTAACGCTGAAATTACAAAATCCCTTTTCGTTTCAAAAAAGATGACAGGACGAATACACGAGGCTCCGCATTAGTATAAAGAGGGCCGATATTATCGAAATTAATGGGTGGATGCGTTTGTACAACTCGAATAGGACGTTCCTCTTTCGAAATGCAGTTGGCGGAATAGTTATTTGTAGGTGAAACAGATCAAAGTGCAATGAATGGCCGTGTATGCGTTTACGGAACTTCATTTTCCAACCCCGTGTTCCCGCATCGAATTTCCCTTCGCCGCGTTCTCAGCGTCGATATTCCAGCGTTTCGTATCCCTTTCTGGCCCGCCACTGTTACTATTACACGAACGTATAATCGGGAATCGTGCGAGTTCAATCATCGCTGAACGAAAATCAATATTTCAATCGATCCTGCCCTTTTCTTTCTCTCCCCGGTTTCTAAATGATTCTCCAAAGAATCTAATTGATTGTAAGTTTCTCAGCGGAAACGGAATATTTCGTGCGTTTATTTAAGAAAAAAATTAAATCATTTATTTATTGCACGAAGAGGCATACAATATAAATGAATTTTTAATAATTCATTCTTATACAGGATGAATAATTTTGAATTTCGAGCAAGTACGAAACAGCTAGACACAACGTACGAACGTAACATTATTGGAGAATTTTGATAAGCCGATTTATTGTCTCTTCGTCGCTCGTTCGATCGCAATTTTCAATTTAATTCTCGCCGCTTAATTTTCATAATTCAACAAAATTTGCAAACGCTGTCTAGTTTTCGGGAAGTTCAGCACGAGACGACTTTAGAAACTAAAAAAAATTCTTTGAAATTAAGAACTGAGAACTATCAAATTCCACCTAAATTCTAACTCTGTCGAGTTTTATCTAAATTTTATATCAAAAAATTACATATAATTATTATAAAATTATATATAATTACTTTAAAAATAATTAAATAAAATTAAATATTAATAAAATAAAATAAATATAAATGAAATTAAATATTAATAAAATAAAATAAATATAAATAAAGTTAAATATTAACAAAATAAAATAAATATAAATGAAATTAAATACTAATAAAATAAAATAAATATAAATGAAATTAAATAATAATAAAATAAAATAAATATAAATGAAATTAAATAATAATAAAATAAAATAAATATAAATGATATTAAATATAAATAAAATAAAATAAATATAAATGAAATTAAATATAAATAAAATAAAATAAATATAAATTAAATTAAATAATGATTATATATGAATTATATATGAATAATTAAATATATAAAAAGAAAACCTACTTTCATCTGACCTAATTCGAATTCTATCGAAATTCTAAAGAAAAAGAAGAAACAAAATCCCGTACTTTCAAGCGAGATAGCACCAACGATCTGGTTAGAAAGTGGACGAGAGCAGGAAGTGACGAGGAAGGAACAATTAGAAGGAGAGGTTGGCGACGGTGGAGGGAAGCGACGTCGCAGAAAATTGCAGAAGGCAGCCCATGGTGGCCAGTTGCAGCGCGAATCGCGACGTTTCGACCCTTTTTGTCCATTATCCACGTAATCGCGACTAATTTTGTTCTGTGGCGAACGTGCACTCTCTCTTTCTCCCGCCCCTCTTTCGACGGTAATCTGGTTAACATCGGTGTTAGGATTAAACCATTAGTCCGATCCGGAAAAGGGGAGAGAAGCCTCGTGTACGATGCACGATTAAATGTCCTGTTCGATTATTTCTCCTTTGCGAGGTGATCCCGCGTTCGAAACTTTCGCGTCGAAACTTCGAGCGTCTTTAACCCCCTACGCCAAAAGTGAATAAAGTTGAATATCATTTCCTTAGTTAAAGAATATATAATCTTCTTTGGAATTTTCTGGTAACATTTTGACAAGGACCTGGAATGTTTTTTTTCTATTTTCTTTTTTGAAACATTGATTAATTTTCCAAACGAAAATCCAACCTTAAATTTTCAAGAGATTAACAGTTATACATAATAACAGTTATTAAATATAATATATAAATAAATTAACAATTATTAATTGCGATAGATTAAGAAAGATTTTTCATTACAATAATTTCTTACATAAATGTTCCACCGTCGAGTAGAAAAAAAAAAAAGAGGAAAAAATAGAAAAAGCTCGTCTCAAACGTCTCCTTTCATCGCGTTTCATTATTTCCCACAAAAGAGTGGGATATGGAATTTTAATCGTGTTCACCTACTACACACGCACAATACACAGAGAATTATACACGTTACAAGTCAACAAACTGCTCTG